GGCTGGATTCGAACCTGCCACCTTAGGTGTATGTGGCTGGCGCCTTAGCCACTTGAGCCACAGGCGCTGAGCCTGTTTCTGAATATTTTAACGAAACTATATGTTTCAGGTGTTTCTTCTTTGCCTATGATGTTATTGAAAGGCTTTAAAAAATCTATCTAAAGGACAAAGGAAGAAAATCCTTCTACAAGAGCTGATTATGTTGGCTATTTTAATGCCATTCTATCTCACACACATCAGACAGTTTGGAATGATGTTAAGGCTAGCCACAGATAAGAAATTATTCTACTAGATAGAGGGAGATCAAATAATCAGATTATCTACCTGGTCCATAGTGCACTTAAATGAATTAGAACACTGTGTGGGAATCACTATAGGATTACAGATGTGCTGGACTTTTTACATGACAACGGGCAGCCCCTTTTCCACTATGTGAAAGGTTATTTTATTCAACACTACTGTCCAATAAGGTCAATCAATTGCTATTATCAATTGATAGTAGGGGTAGTAAAATAGTGAGAAAGTCCCATATTTATGTAACAATGGGAAAAGTTGCTTTACCGAGGAATGAGCTACTTCACCTTCACCTTGAAATATCAAAGATGAAAGTGCTTGTTTTGTTTAAATATATCTATTGTATAATAGATTTATATATGTATATTTATTTATATATAAATCTATACATTTATAATAGATTTTTTAAATTTTATAGATTTATAAATATACATCTACAAACATATCTACAAATACAGATTTTATATATAAATATAAAATATATTTGTTTATATATAAATTTATATAGTATATATTTAAATATATATAAAGTATATAAAGTATTAAATTCCTCTTTTTAAAACCAATTAGGTTTAAATGGGCTTTTCTTTATGTTGTAACTTTTAAAACACTGATGAATACATATTTAATCTTTTATTTAATAGATAGTATTGAGGCCCAAACATTTTCCCTTTGTAGAAATACATCAATTTACCTGTGCGAAATCAGTAGCAAGTCTCATTTTCCCACCTTCACCAAGAGGTCTTATGAGACTGGCATGGCGGACAAAAAGTTCAATTGCTCTTTGGGCAATAGCTTCAGTGTTATCAAAGACAAAATCTAAGCATTCAAAGTGTTTAAAGTAGTCACTCATAACTCTGGCAATGAAACCTTGTAGCTCCTTCATGTACAGAGAACAAGGAACATCAAGCTTTCCTGAGCTGGATGATGACCTGTAAAACAAAAACAGCCATTTTCAACACAAAGGCACTAAGTCACACTCTCTGATTTTGTACCCTACACTTTCTATTTCAATTCAGGTCAACTTTCCCCCTTAATGATATAAAAGGAATCATTTATTTTTTGGTAAGTATTAAAGAGCAAAAAATACGATTATGTTTTAAAAACGGCTTTAGACGCTAGGAGGATTAGTAAGGAATTTTTGAATCCATTTACCTAATGATTATTAAGAATAAAACAGATAACCATCTGTTTTGAATGAATCATACAAGTGCTACTCTCTGGCCTCTCAAGGTCTCTCCCAGCCTCACAACTCTCCATCTACTCACATGTTTTGCCTGGTAAGCAAATGTATCAATAATGAATCCTGAAATAGTATTTTACTCTTTGCAATGGCAGAAAATGCTGCCTTCCCCAAACAAATTCTTGGCAAAGATATCTCTGCTCTTCTGCTATGTAATCAGATCAGTCCAATAGCAGAACTGTGACTGTGGAACTGGTTATGTAACAGTACACATGGTGTGCAATTTTTTCCTCCAGATGATGAGGTTTGGAAAGGCTTTAATTTGGATCAACAGATGATACCAGCTGATGCTCCATGAAATACTATTTATAATTTATGAATGTTTATAACTGCCCTTTAAAGAATATATTAAAAGAATGTGAAATATTTATAGGAAAAAAGAGAGATACCAAAATTAGATAACACTTGATATTGTCTAATAAATGAGATCACTGGCTATATAATGCTGAATCTTTTTTAAAAAGCAAGTTAAGTGTTTTCATATTCTGAGAATGATGTAGAGAAACTAGCAATAGTCTAGAGAAAAACAACACATAGGACTAAAATGCCTAGAGCAAGAGAATGAGGTAAACTTAATTATCTTCAAATACAGCAAAGGTCACTGTAAGTAGGATGCTAACCAGAGGTCTTCCACTTCCAAAAACAGACAGAAATAGAGAAAGCAGGTTTATATTCCAGCAGGAAGAAATGAATGTGGCAGCAATAGCAAGGTCACTGAGGGGGACACAGTGGAACGTTTCTGTTTGCAGTATCATCACAGGGTAGAGTGCGGCTTGGGTACAGAGGAGTCTTAGGAAGTGACTGCAGCGTTCCCATGGAGTTTGGTTTTGACACATTCCATTCAGACTACTGCTTGGCTTAGCTTGACTCACATTTTGTCATTTCAAAAGACTAGGCTGTAGAAAAAATGGCACTAGTTTCTTTCATATTGTCTTTTCTTTTTTATGAATTAAATATAATTATGAAGTACACGGTCAAGTTATGATATAGGTATACCGTGTGGAATGACTGCCTCAAGCTGATTAACACATCCATCGCTGTGATTGACATTTATTCCTCCTAACTGCAACTTTGTACTCTGTATTCTGTCCAACCCTCAGCCTCTGGTAACCATCATTCTACTCTCAGATTCCAGATGTAAGTAGATCATGTGGTGGTTTTTTGTGCCTGTTATTTTACTTAATATAATATTCTCCAGGTTCATCTATGTTGTTAAAATTGATGGAATTTCCATTTTTTTTGAAAGCTGAACAGCATTTCATTATGTATATATACCACATTTTCTTCATCCATTCACCAAACTGCTGAGACTGATTCTATAACTTGGCTAGGGTAAGTAACACTGCAAAGACATGCGAGTACATAAATCTCTTTGATGTACTAATTTTAAGTCCTTAGGATATAGACTCAGAAGTGGGATTGCTGAATTACATGCAAGTCTATAATATATTTAGTTTTTGAGGAACTTTGATACGGTTTTCCACACTGGCTAATTTACATTCCCCCCACGGTGTGCAAGGTTCCCCCTTTCTCCACATTCTTGCCAATTCTTGTTATCTTTTTGATAACAGGCATTCTGACAAGTGTGAGGTATTATCTCATTGTGGTTACAATTTTCATTTCCCTAGTGACTGGTGATGCTGAACACGTTTTTAATATATCTGTTGGTTGTTGATATGTCATCTTGGAGAAATGTCTATTCAGGTTTCTTACCCATTTTTAAATCAGGTTATTTGTTTTATTACTATTGTGTTGTCTGAATTGCTCATGCATTTCAGGTGTTAACCCCATATCAGATGTACAGCTTACAAATATTTTTTTCCAATCTGTATGTTGTCATTTCACCCTGTTATTTGTTTCCTTTGCTGTACAGAAGCATTTTAGATAAATGTAATCACATTTGTCTATTTTTGCTCTTGTTGCCTGAGCTTTTGGGGTCAAATCCAAAAAAAACGAATGCCCATCTTGGTATTCTCTAACACAGTTATATTGGTAAAAGAAAAAAACCACATTGCCCAGATTTTCCCCAGTGTTTACTTCAAGTAGTTTTATAGTTTCAGGTGCTTTGTGTAAATCTTTAACCCATTTTAAGTTGATTCTTGTATATGTGTGAGATAAGGGCCCTATAGATATCCAGTTTTCCCTTAATAAAGAAACTGTCCTTTTCCCTTTGTGTGTTCTTGGCACCTTTGTTGAAAATCAACTGACCGTAAATGTGTGGTTCATTTCTGGACTCTCTGTTCTGTTCCATTGGTCAATGTTTCTATTTTTATGCCTGTAATATGCTGTTTTAACTACTTTATGGCTCTGTAATATAGTCCGAAATTATGTGTAATGTGATGCCTCCAGATTTGTTCTTTTAGCACAAGATTGCCTTAGCTATTCAGGACTTTTTTAGTTTTACATGAATTTTAGGATTATTTTTTCTATTTCTGTGAAAAATGACATTAGAATTTTTATAGAAATTGCATTGAATCTTTAGATCACTTTGGATAGTACAGCCCCCCCCTTTTTTTTTGACACAGTCTTACTTTGTTGCCCTCGGTAGAGTGCCACGGTGTCATAGCTCACAGCAACCTCAAACTCTTTAGCTTAAGTGATTCTCTTGCCTCAGCCTCTCAAGTAGCTGGGACTACAGGTGTCTGCAAAAACAACTGGCTTTTTTTAAAAAAAAAAAAAAAAAAAACAGATGAGGTCTCACTGTTGCTCAGGCTGGTCTCAAACTCGTGAGCTCAGGCAATCCACCTACCTTGGCCTCACAGAGTGCTAGGATTATAGTCATGAGCCACCACGCACGGCCCAAAAGACATTTTACCCCTCCTTTTTCCTGTCTCCAGTGCTTGAATCAGAAAGCACTGACATTTTAACAATATTAATTCTTTCAACCTATAAATAAACATAGAATATTTTTCAATTTATTTCCTTTTGTCAATTTTTTCATCATTGTTTGATAGTTTCAGTAGGTTGTTGTAAATGGGGTTTTTCTTGATTTCTTTGTCAGATAATTCATTGTTATAGATTTAGTGCTAATTTTGCATCCTGTAAACTTTGCTGTATTCCTTCATTAGTTCTTAAGGTTTTCTATATGTATAAGACCATGTCATCAGCAGTAACAATCTCACTACTTCCTTTCCTATTTGAGTCCCTTTTATTTCTTTCTCTTGCCTTCTTGCTCTGGGAATGACCTCCAGTATTATACTGACTAGAAAGTGGAGAGAATGGGCATCCTTGTCTTATTACTGATGTCAGACAAAAAATTTTCAATTTGTCACCATTTACTATGTGAGGCGTGGGCTTGTCTTATATGGCCTTTATTAGGTTACATTCCTTCTATAACTAATTTATTGAGAGTTTTTGTCAAATGGTTTTTCTGTACCTAATGAAATGATCATGTAGTTTTTGTCTTTCATCCTGTAATGTGTCACATTTATAAATTTGCATATGCTGACCCATCCTTGCATCCCAGGGATAAATCCCACTTGGTCATAATGACTGATCCTTTTTATGTGTTGTTGAATTAGGTTTGCCAACATTTTGTTGAAGATTTTTGCACTTATTTTCCATCAGGAATATTGGCCTGTACTTTTCTTACCTTGTAATGTTCTTATGTGGCTTTGACATCAGAGCAATGCTGGCCTAGTAAAAGGAGTTCAGAAGAATTCTTTCCTCTTTGATTTTTCAGAAGAGTTTGAGCAGGGTAGTTATTAGTTCTTTCTTAAACCTTTGGTAGAATTTACCCATGAAGCCAGTGGGCCTTGGGCTTTTCTTTGATAGGAGACTATTACTGATTCAATCTCTTTACTCATGATTAGACTGTTCATGTTTTCAATTTCTTTTTGATTCAGCAGTGGTAGGTTGTACATGTCTAGAAATGTTTCTATATTTTTCTAGGTTACTGAATTTCTTGCTATATAATTGTTCCTAGTAATCTCTTCTGATTTTTTGTATTTCTGAGTTATCATTTGTCATATCTCTTTTTTCATTTCTAATTTTGAATCCTTTCTTTCTTCAGCAGTCTAGCTAAAGGTTTGTCAATTTCATTTATCTTTTCTAAAAAATAATTCTTGATTCAGTTTCTTTTTTCTCTTTTATTTATTTCTGCTCTGATCTTTGTTATTTCTTTCCTTGTGCTAACTTTGGGCTTAGTTTGTTCTTTTCTTATAGTTCCTTGAGGTGTAACATCAGGTGTTTCTTCTTTTTTGATGTAAACATTTCATGTTATAAATCTCTCTTAGAGCTGCTTTTGCTATATCCCATAGATTTTAGTATGTTGTGTTCCTATTTTCACTTTTCCCAAGATATTTTTTTTTATTGCTTTTCATTTCTTCCTAAACCCAGTGGCTATTCAGAAAGATATTGTTTAATTTCCACATATTAAATTGAATATGAATTTTCCAAGATTCCTTTATTATTGATGTCTACTTTTAAGCTGTTGTGATCAGAAAAGATACTTGATAGGATTTCAGTTCTCTTAAATTTGTTCACATGTAGTGTGTGGCCTCTAACATACGAAATATCCTGAAGAGAGTTTTGTCTAAAAGACATAAAAAGACATGTATTTTCTTGCTTTTCAGTAGAATGTTCTGTTTACTGTTTGTGAGGTCTATTTGATGTATAGTTCACATCCAATGTTTCCTTATTAATATTCTATCTGGATTAAGTGTGGTGCTGAAGTCCAATGCTATTATTATATAACGATTTCTCTCTCCTTTTCAATTCTTTAACATTTGCTTTACGCATTTAGGTATTCTGATGTTGGGTGTGTATTTATAATTTTTACACACTCTTGATGAACTGACCCCTTTATCGTTATATAATGATGTTCTTCATCTTGTTTTACAGTTTTTGACTTAAAGTCTACTTTTTCTGATATAATTACCTCTGTATTCTATGGCTTCCATTTGTATAGAATATCTTTTTCTATCCCCGACTCTATGGCTGTGTACCCCTATAGGTGAGTCTCTTGTAGATAGCATACACAGTAGAACCTCCATAGCCAGACACACAACCGCACTGTACTTATCAGTACAGTAGGCCTTGTGCCTTATGTTTACGACCTCCATGTGTTGAACAATTTGTTGTAGTCCCTAGGATGGTCAATTTATAGAGGTTTTACTGTAGTTGGCCTTTCATATGTTCTTACGCTTTATCAGAAGCAGAATGTTATGTTGGTACTACCCTGGATGTTATCTCTAAAATTTTAATCTAGTCATTTAAAATTATTTCACTGAGTTGAATACACAAGACGTTGCACAAATTTATGTCAATTTAAGTATAATTAAACAACCTACTAGACAAAATCTGGCAATATATATTAACAAATCTTTTTGTGAATTAGATATCTGATTTAAATTTACCAGAATATAAACTTGGTTGGCTACTGCAATACCTCTGTTTTCCCAATTATACCAAAGATTTTACTAAGAGGTTCTCAACTGATCAAGTTTAATAGTTAGCAGTGCAGAAATTCAAGGGTCTTGATGATGGCAGAGTGTATGCAGAAGTTGAAGACAGAAAGATTTAACGTTATGTCCAGTTGAGAAGTGGTAGATGTTCATTTTCATGTCCCCGGACCTGTGTATGTGCTCCTCCCACAAGGGTGCTCATTCATCCTCCATCTTAAGGATCTACGGTCCTTTCACTCCTTTCTCTCCCTCACTCAAAACTGTAATCAGACATGAGTCATTTTCCATTAAATGCAATAATTTTAATCAGTGTGCTCTATCAAACAAACTTTTATATTTTAAGTTTCATATAATTTTGAAAGAAAAATATTTCAAATAGGAAGAAATCATGTTGAGGATTACTTTTTAAATAGCAGAGGGATTCTATAACTACACTAATATAACATTCGCCCAGAAGGTCAATTTGACTTATTCCTTTTACTTAAGAACAGGTGTGGAGGAGTTGAAGTGACAGGTATTCACTATTATTTTTCTAACTGTTGTATTACCCTGAGGGCTAGCTTTAATATAAAGGTGACACCTATTTCTTAAATAGTTTAATCCAACTTCACCTCATATTTCATATAAGTCATACATATATGAAAGGACATGACAAAATTACTAATAGCAACATTTGAGAAAGTGGGACAAGTACTGCCATGGGAGCAATAATTTAAATAAAATGAAATGTGCCCCACTTTCCTATACTACTCCATATGGGGAACGACTTTCAGTGGACTCTCCAATGACAACTATATACACACTGAGCTGAAATGGAGACTCCAAAAGCCATTTGGAACAAAAAAATAAGGACAATATTATTCACCTTAAAATAATATTTCTTGCTTATGGGAACCAAAAAGTTAAAGAATCAATCTGGTTTACTCATATTTAAGCAAACTAGTCAAAACATTTGGGAAACTAACTTTTAGCTGTTAATGTTGAATGTGTTATCTGTAGGCACTAGTCATGACTTACCAATTTAATTACTAAAGTATCTGACTACTCTTATTATAGAATAAGTCTTCAAAATTATTTCATTTTGGCTCCCCTTTTAGAGGCATGCATGATTAGTCTAACTGGGACATTTCGGATCATTTTTGAACAATATCCATTTTCTCCCAAATATAGATAATCAGACATATTATATTCCTATCTCCTATTGAGTTCCAAATATAGCATTTTTTGGTAGAATTCACTTTACTCTTTTGTGCTTTGTATCATTATTAAAATTAGAGACTGATCTTTTGACATTTCAAAAGATGCTATGTAAATGAAATGATAAATAACTTAAAAAATTAGAAGACAGTGATGATTTTTTTTTCTACAAGTAGCTAAGCTAGTAGCTGAAATATCCTAAGTAGATATTCTTTTAAACAACATGAATATAAAGAGAAAGAGGATGGTTCAAAATAGCAACTAAGTATGAGCCCAGGGATATAAAATATGTATCTACATATTAATATTTGAATGTTTATCTACATATTAATATTTGAATGTTTAGCTCTAGAATATAATTAACTTCTTTAAAGAAATCACTCCAAGCATGTGTAACGATTCCAAATTCCTTACAGTTTTCTAATACACTGAACAACCAAAACCATTTTCTTCTCTTTAAAGACTTCAATAAATATTCTGTTAGGAACCACAATTAATTATTCTCATAATACATATGATATAGATGAGCAATTCACATATGTAGCAGCCATGGAATAATACAATGGTATTTGTGGCTAGGTGTGATATGATCAGATTAGACTGTATAGAAACTCTGAGGAAAGGAACTCAGTCTCGGAAGGGGTTGGGCAGGAGCTTACCCTCAAAGCCAGAGCAGGAGTGGTAGACTAACCCAGGGGCAGGAGTAGGGCTTTTCATATAAGGAGTACCATACCTACTTATGCCACGAGGTAGCAGAGGGTATTTGTGAGAAGAAAGGAAAAGATAAGAGTAGAAAAGGAAGATGATCCAAACTACCGAAAGGCCTGAAGTGTCAAGCTGAGTCCCATGCTCATTCTGTGTTTCAATAAGAGGAATGAAACGATGAAAATAAGAACTGAAAAATTTTAATTTGCTAATGGTGCTCACAAGGGGTAAATCAGGAGAGGGCTGAAACTGACAACGTCACAAGGAAGAAGGCTCTTTATGGCAGGTGGGAATGAAAAACAAATGCAGTAAAAGTTAGTAAAAATTCATTACATGTTATTATTACCCAGAAAAATCTTCTTGATGCATGGTGATGATTATGGCCTCTATCGCATCTCCCACTGAAGTCAGTAGGGGTTGCACAGCATTTCCCATAAGGGCATGGATTGCCTGAAAAAAATAAAAAGGAAGGAGAAGTAAAGTCAAGGAAAACCAACAGGAAGATAGCTGAGATGTGAGAAACATGGTGACTAACAGTTTTCATATTGTATCAACTGCAGACTATACATAGTTAACTCAACAGAAGTCTGCTTCCCTCTCTAACCGCTGTCAGTAATGATTTTTAAAGCTTAAAATATGTAGAACATGGCACAAAAATTTCAACACCCCCACTCCTTTCATTTTTTTCAAAAGGTTTAGTAGTTAAATGAGCCCATAGAGAAAGGAAGACATATGTGAAAAGAGTCGTTTCACTTATGAAGTAAAGGTCAAATGAACACATTTAAGTTTCTCAAAGGAGTAAGGCAAGACCAAAAGTAGTTTTTTAAAAATTGGAACAATAACATCATGTGCTTTTAACCAGAATGAATATAATAAATGTACTGGTGATTCTTACAGAGAGAAGAGTTAGAAATTTCATGAATTTGGTTAATGTTGAGAGTTCTCCAGTAGTGATTCTCCACTGTGGGTAATTTTGCTCCCCAGGGAACATTTGTCATGTCCAGACACATTTTTGATTGTCATGACTGGGGAGAGGTAGAGCATGTAGTTGGCATAGGGACAGAGATGCTAGCATCCTCCATCACACAGGCCACCCCCCACACCGTACCCAGCCCCAAATGTCAGTATTGCTAAGGTTGAGAAACTAGTCTAAAATGAGATAGAAGCCCTGGTTACTTTATGTAAAACCCTTAGTTACAGGTTTTTCTTGTGACAATAATGGCTGAGGCTTGCAATACTCAAAGTCAAAAATTTAAATATATTACATATGCTTCAGTGATTATTACATATAATGAAGACTGGTGGGTTTGGCTCATACAAATGATCAGAATCAATGAGGAAAAGTTAAATCAGACCCTTATTCATTAAATTCCTAATTTGTAGCCCTTAATCTCTGATAAAAATAAACATATTATATACATGAGTATATGTTTATGTGTACATACAGTTTGCTCTTTGTACAAAACCTCACAGTCTAGTGACAAAAGATAAAAAGTTGAGTATCCTTTACTCAACACAAATCTTTGTGCTCAATGTTTTGTGTTTTGGAAATACTTGAGACTAGGCGTGTTTCAGATTTCTTTGGCTTTTAGAATATTTGTATTATACTAGTTGAGCATCCCAAATCCAGAAATTCAAAATCCAAAATGTTCCAATGAGTATTTTCTTTCAGTATACATCAGCACTCAAAAAGTTTCAGATTTTGTAGCATTTTGGATTTTGGATTTTCAGATTTGGAAGTCAACATGCATTATAACTATAAATAATGCTGTGGGGTCTTGGAAAGATTCTGCCTCACACTGAGAGGTTCTGAAAGACAAAAAGTCTTGCTTGAACTGGGGAGAGGGAGGGACATTTACTATTAGCATTCAGTTGGTAAAGGACTAGACAAACTGAAGAAGAGTGGGGCTAGGAGTACACTGTTAAAAGGCTGGAAGGGCAGGAAAGCTATAGATGTGGGGAACTGCAAAGTGTTCAGTTCATAAAGAGCGTAAGTGCCTTTGTGGATGACAGAGAGGCAGCAAGAAATTTCCACTGTATAGACTGCTAAGGAGTTGGGAATTTATCCTGCAGGGACCAGAAAACCAATAATGGGTTTTAAGCAATGGAAAAAAGTGGTTAAAGATTTGAAGTTAGGAAAAATCATGTTGGTCAGTAGACCAGATAAATTAGACTAAAGAGAGGATGATTAGCAGAAAGTCTGCAGCAGTAAGAGAAATGAAACATGAGTGGCTGAACCAAATCAGAGCAGCAGACACAGAGACAAGGAGGCAGGTTGTAGACACCTTGAAAGGAGAACGGCAGGACATGTTCTAAAATACATGTAGTGGAAAGATTTAAGGGTACACATAGATATTTTTCTTCAATGATTTAGTGATATTTTTAGCTGATTGTTTAAATGCAGAAACAGCAGAATTTGATCTGGGGATGGAGGAAAGAAAGGGAGAAGAGTTCTGTTTGGAACATTAATTTGAAGTGCCTATGAGAAATCCATGAGGGCTACCCAGTAGGTACTAATGCACTTAAACATGAGGTTCCTGAGACATTTTAATGAGATTTGGTCTTCAACTAGCTTTTAAGATGGGAGATGATGCCAAAAGAGTCAGGGAGATCCCAGAGGATGGAGTGTAGAGTAAGGCCGAATGCCACTGTAATGTCATGCAGAAGAAGAGGGCCTGGGAAGGATGAAGAAGGATAAAAACATTTAACAAGTACACATTATGTGCCGGCCACTGTGCTATGTGCTTTACATATAAAAATTCCATCTAGAACTAAATTGTTCCTTCTCAAAAATTATTCAATTCTCTAATTTATAGAAAGGAAAGCCTAAGATAATTTACTGATAAGGACAGAAAAGTCAAAGTAAGAAGACTGTCCACAGCCATAAGTGAGCAAGCAGAAGACCTGGATCTTTCTAGGTCTATCAAACCCCAGTGATTTTTGCTTATACAGTGCTACTGGGCAGAAAAGTAGGATGAGACCTTAGGGCATGGTAGAAATAAAGAGACAAGAAGATTTCAAGAAGAAAGAGCAGACTTTTCACTGCTGGTATGAAGGAGTAAGTCCACTATAGATCCTTCTACAAATAGCTAAGAAAAAACAAAAATAAAATAAATAAAAAAAAACAAAATAAAACCAATGGGCTTGGCGCCTGTGGCTCAAGCGGCTAAGGCGCCAGCCACACACACCTGAGCTGGCAGGTTCGAATCAGCCTAGGCCCATCAAACAATAATGATGGCTGCAAC